TGTGGAGAATAGTATGATGTGGCCATATTTTTTTCTTAGGTATGATTTAAGAATGGACAGTTGTTTCTGTTGGTTCAGAGGAGAATTCAAGTGATGAAATGTGACAGTTTCTTTTATCTGTACTCTTGTGCTAAAATATTTTAACACAACTCTTATGGGAGAGAGACAAATTTCCAGAGCTCACAGAAATCCCAAAGTGAAGGTTTATTTTTGTAGAGAGATTGATTCCACTGCAATTATACTGAAAGCAGGTGTGCTCGTGTAACATGAATAATACCTGTCTGAAAGAATAGGTGAAATTTCCTGTAAGGTTGATATGGAGGTATAAAACACCCTACTCTTTTTAAAGATGATGTTTTGTGCTGATAGCACATCTAAAGAATGGAGCTATTCAGCAGCATTATAATAGAGCTTAAAATAAAAATCATAAGTTGCTATATGTATTACCCCATGAGAACAATAACAGTTGCCAAAAATGTGAAATGAACTGGATGTCTGAGTATTTTCCATCTCTCGTTTCTGTGATTCCTAAACATTAACCAACTTTGTTCTTTGAGAATACATAAATGGAAATATTTTGTATCAACATAGATAAGATGAACAATCGTAAAAGACAAGGTCCTTCCTTACAAGCTTTCATCCTTTCACATTTGAGTAAAAAAAAAAATCTAACTGCTGATGTGAAAGCCATTTTGCATTCTCCAGTAAGAATTAATGCATGTTAAGCTGTGGTAAACTACTTTGAAAATGTAAAAGATTTCTTACAGTTTTTCATAAAATTGCAGTTTGTTTATTCCAGTTTTAATGTTTGGCATTAGCTGTAAAACATATTTATGAATGTTACACATTTATGGAAAATAGTATATCACGTTTAAGCACATGCAATGCAGTGATCTGTGGTTATTTATTAGATTCAGCTGTCTTTGACATTTGAGTCTTCCAGTCTGATAAGGCAACTAATTTCTAAGTCTACCATTTTTGCTCATAAAATCAGAAACTCATAACACTAATGGATCAATGTTAATGTAATTAAGGTAAAACACACTTTTTGTTTAATTTTCATAAAATCTTTGATTTAATCAAACATGCCTTTTACAGTTCTGAAACAAAAAAAAAGTCAAAGTAGCTAACAAACCATCATAACCTTTCTGGCAAAGAGAGCTAATTTGTAGTAATATAATTAAATATTATTTACATTAGTGTTTAAGAAATGTCAAGGGGGCATCTCTTACAAGAGATTGGTTTGAACCCAAAATGCTGCTCCTCATTGTCTCTTCCTAATGAAAATATCTATGTTCATCTTGTATAAGACTCTGCTTCATTTCATGTGAATAAAGTTTTCATTAATATTCATTATCCAGTGTATACTAATAAGGGTACTTGGTTATGAATATTTATAAGCATAGCTTATGTGTACTCATAAATATTCATTATTCACCCATGCAGGTTAAATGTTGAGATGTTGCAGATACTGAAGTACGAATGCATACAAAACAAGCTCAGATTCTTAAACATTACTTACACTGAGTGAAACACAAAACATTTGTCTACAAATGAAAAATATATATTTGGATCTCAGCTACCTTAAACAGTAGCAAAGCAGCAAATCCTGCTGCAGCAAGAAAATGTGTGTGCTCATGTTTAAAAGTTATTTGTGTGTCTTGTGCATTACTTTAATGAAATGCTTTAATGCAATTAAAGTTTTTGTTTTTTTCCTTTTATTTCTTCTTATTTTTTACTTCAATGGCAACAGTGTAGCAGTCCAGTTTCTACTTAGGGAAAACTCCAATTGACTTGAAGATTTAGGGTAAAATCCTGGCTCTGTTGAAGTCAATAGCAAATCTTGTATTAAGTTTAGTACAGAGATGATGATGCCCTGGGGCCTAGGATCATGTTCTAGTCTTTTTTTGTATATAAGTGTGTGTAACTTGGGAATAATTATCAAATGCAGTGTGATTTACACCACTTTTATAATGGTTTAAGTGAGTTCTACTGAAGTTGTACACATACTTAAGTGTTGTTTTGAATTGGGACCTACTCTTTGGCACACCAAAATAAAAAAATCTCAGATGGAATCCTACTGAAGTCTGTTACCTTTGCAGAATGATAATCCTACCATCTCAGTGTATATTTGTTAAATAATACTGCATAATAATATGGCTTAATAGCTTTTGTGATCTTTATCTTTCTGTAATAAACCATAAAATGACATGTACTGCTAACTGCTTTATTCCGTAATTTTTTGCTACTTCTCAAGTATTTCTGAAATAATCATCATATATTATTAGTAAGTGAGATTCAGTAATGAAAGGTGCAGGTGAATATTTAGAAACTTCAGAGAATCCTACAGGTATTTTAACCATTATTTATAGACAGTAATTTGAACAGAGATTTATTTTAAAAACAAAACTTACTTGAAAGGATTTTCAATATTCATTAATACTTGTGCTACTAGAATAATGTTTCAATAATCTAGCTTTTGATCTTCAATTGTACATTATCAGTGGTTAATTTAAGTCTAATTTATTCTCATTATCTTAGTTATGTTAATGCTACTATAAGCATTTTTATTGTAATATAGTGTTTAACATTATTAGGATTTGAATTTCAATCATAATTTTTTTTTACCCCAAAATAGCTTCTATCCTAAATAAGAATAATTTCACAGTAGCAACTAGAATAAAAATCCTTAGGGTCTGTTTTACTAAATACCCATTCAAGCTCATACATAATTAAATTTACTGACTTTCTTTTTGCAGTGGGGGAAAACAAGCCCATTTCATATCTCATACATGTGCTCACACACACGCACCCTTTGGATAACATTTCATTTTGTCCTGGCCATTTAGTGGCCAGTTTTTGACCATCTGCAGGTCATTTTTGGCAGTTACACACCAATGGGAATTCTGTTTCTGGACACATAACCCTACCCTCACATAGACAACTATGCACATAGTTTCTGGACAACTATGTGCAAATATGTAGTGATGCAAACTGAACCTGAACAGTAGTGGCTACAGCATCCACATAGCAGACTTAGATGTATGAAAACTGAGGTGACCAAAACTCATTAAGAGGGGTCCTGTTTTTTTCTGATTAAAGAAACCAAACAAACCCAATTTTCAGATATAAAAAAAGTAACCCAAAATCCACATTTTTCTGTGATTTAAAATTTGAGGCTACTTTTTTACATCCAAAGATTGGGGATTGTTTTTTCATCAGAGAAAAACAGGATCCCTGCTTATTACTACCGATTTTAGCTTGAGGAATAGAAAAGAGCTTTGTGTGTGTAATCAGGTTGTTTTTGCCTTTATAGCTCAGTGGCCAGGATTTTATTTGTATCTAGGACATCTAGATATCTAGGATATCTAGGAAACTGGAAGTCCTGGGTTCTAAACTTTAGTCTCTCATAAGGGGTTAGAGACTACCTGTCTCTCACTTCACAGCACAGCATTCTAACTATCATGCACAGATCAAACAATATGCACTGCCTTCTCCAGGACTTCTTCTGAAGTGGAGCTACTAAATAGTCTTTGGACAAAATAGGTGAAGGGCATTGTAGGGGGAAGCTTCTCCTCCACTTGGGATAAGGGCTGCAGTTAAAACCCAAGTACCTACTCTCTGCCAAGCCAACAACCATCTCTTAGGTTGTTCATTTCCTCTTGGCTCCATAAATCTCCCATAAACTTCCCTCTTTCAGAGGGAGAACGGGGCAGGAAGGTGGTCTCCAGTAGGCTAGATTTAAAAGAAGCAGTGGAGAAGATATCCCAGAGCTTAGGTGCCATACTCAGTGTTGCAGGAGAGTGTCTGTCTTTGATTACAATTTGCAGACCCCTGAGTTAAGCACTTTTTCAGAAACAGGACCAAAGCAGACTATGTTAATATTAAGATTTTTTTTTTTTTTTTTTTAA